AGAAGCATGGGAAATACGCATAGTAGAACAGAGTCATAGCTACACCTACATCAACCCTGACCCCTGGCTGACCAGAGGCTTCACCTCTTCTTGAACACCTCCAGTGATGGTGCATCCACAACTTGCCTCTGCAGTCTATTCCAGTGGTCTCCAAACTTTTTTGATCGTGCACCCCTATCAGTAAAACATTTTTGAGCATGTACCCCCAATATATATATATTTATTTATTTATAAATTATATACATGTACTACTCGCATACTGTACGTGACACGTGACCAAGTGAGGGTGCCAGTGTCAATCCATATATTAAATATTAGTAATGCTTAATTTCTTTCTTATTTTTTTAGATAAAAAATAAATATAAATAGAAGTTCTAATATTTTCTTTCCGCACCCCAATGAATCATCTTGCGTACCCCCTGGAGTGCATGCACCCCACTTTGAAGACCACTGGTCTATTCCACTGCCTCACTGTTTTAACCATAAAGTTTTTTCTGGATATCCAATTTAAACTTACTTTGCTGCAACTTCCAGCCATTGTTCCACATCTTCCTCTCTGCAGCAAGAGTGAAAAGGTGATTTCTCCCTTCTTTATGACAGCCCTTCAGATATCTGAAGACTGCTGTCATGTCCCCTCTTAAGCACCTTTTCTGCAAACTGAATATGCCTAGCTCCTTCAGCCTCTCTTCATATGATTTGCCTTCTCAGTCCTTTATCATATTTGTTGCCTGCCTCTGGACTCTCTCTAGCTTCTCCACATCCTTTTAAAATGTGGAGCCCAGCACTGCACATAGTTCTGCAGATGAGGGCAGATAGTGCTGCAGACGAGGGTAACCAGTACTTAGTAGAGGCACTATCACTTCCCAGGTCTTGCACATAATGCTTCTATTGACACATCCCCAAATCACATTTGCCTTTTGTGTGGCTGCATCATGCTGCAAATTCACATAGTGTGAATTTAACACCTTAATCGCATTAATCCCCCACCCCACCCCCCAGCTTGAGCACAGCCCCAGTGGCAGTGGGCTTACCCCACCCTTGCCCCAGGAGTGGTAGCCGCAGGCAGCCCAGGCTGGGGGCAGCTGCTTCAGCCCGGGCCCAGGCTCAAACCTCCCCACTTACTTGCTCTGTGGGTCCCAGACGGTTTCTCAGGCCCAGGGTAGGTCAGATGCCAGGCAGCCCTGCCATGGCCCAGCGCCACCTTCCCTGAAGCCCCGGCACTGCCAGCCTGGCTGCTTGGGGCCCTGGAATGGGGGCTGTGGGTTGGTGTCCCCATCCCGCCCACAGCTTCCTGCTGTAGCCACCCAGAGCCCATGTCCCACCGGGACCCACACAGAACCACCACAGCAGGGTTGCCTGGTGCCCTCAAAACCCACAGCTTGGGCTCAATGTGGGTCAGAACCACCTGGGATCTCTGGCATGAGCTGTCTCTGGGCCCTCAGGCCCCTGCTCATCCCTGGTTCGGGCCCCTGGGGAGCAGCAGTGACGGCAGCCCTGCGTCCCCACAGAGGCAGCCACTGCTAGCAAGCAGGGGTGGGATTCCTGTAGAGCCATTTCCCACAGCCCCTGACCCGCACTATGCTGTACGCCCGGCCCCAGCATAGTGTCACCTGAGCTATGCCCAGCACCACCAAGCTGGGCAGAGCTGCTTCTCTCCTACCTTTGCCACCTGGGCTCCCATTGGGACCCACTGGCTCTGTGCAGGTCCTGGCAGGAGCCCAGATGGTGGAGAGTGGCAGCTCTGCCTGGCTTTGCAGCCTTGGCAGTACTGGCCTGGGGCTGGATGTGCAGCATGGCATGGGCTGGGGGCTGTGGGAGGTGGCAGGGTGCACGGGGCCACTGTTGCCACTGCTCCCTGAAGGCCTGGAGCAGGGGTGCGCTGGGACTCGCAGGCTCAGAGGCAGCTCATGCCGGAGCTCCCAGGCGATCCCGAGCCATGGGGCCCGAGGGTGCCAGGCAGCCATGTCACAGCTCAGCACCGCCTTCCTAAACCCCCAGCACTGCCAGCCCAGCTGCTTGGGGCCCTGGATGGGGGTTGTTCATGGGTGCATAGATGCACCCCGCTCCCCCCTTCCTGCTACAGCTACCCAGAGCCTGCACCTGGGCTGCCCTACAGATTCTTTGCAGAGCTACTACTGCCCCTTTGGGCAGCCCAAAGTCAGTGGTCACAGAAGCGGGGCAAGGCAGCCCAGGCACAGACTTCAAAACCATGTGTGCAATTAGTGCGTTAAAAAATTTAACGCGCTAATTGTTCCTTGAGTTAATCATGCATATTAATGGTGATTAATTGACAGCCCTAATAATTGCCCCTTGCTTGCAGCTGTTGAGCCAGTTATCTATCCATCTTGTAGTTTTAGCTAGCTCACATTTCTCCAATTTGTTTATGAGAAGGTCATGCAGGACCTTGTCAAAAGCCTTGCTAAAGTCCAGGTGCACTACATCCACAGTGTTCTCTTCATCCACCCAAAGTAGTTACTTTACCAAAGAAGGAGAACAGGTTCATTTGACGCAATTTATTTTTCATAAATCTGTGCTGGCTGCTTGTGATTAGCCTTTCCTCCTCCAGATTCTTGCAAATGGCTGTCCTTAGGATATGCTCCAGTAACTTCCCAGGTATTGAAGTGATCCTAACTGGTCTGCAGTTCTTTGGGTACTCCTTGCCTTTTTTTAAAGAGGGGCACTATATTGGCCCTTTACCAGTCTGGTGGTACCTGGCCTGTCTCCCACAACTTCATGAATATCATTGGCAAAGACTCTGAGATCTCCTCTGCCAGTTGTTTCAGAATCCTGGGATGAAGTTCATCTGGCCTTGCTGATTTGAATTCATTCAGATCCACTCTGACCATCTATTTTTATCTGCCCCCTTCCTTATCCAGATGATCCTTATTAGGTGTCTGGCTGCATCTTTTTTTTTTTGTGAAGACAGGCAAAATAGATGTTGAGTAGCTCTGCCTTTTTGCATCTTAGGTTTGGAGTTTCCCCTGGCTTGTTAACGAAGGACCCACTTTCCTTCGTCCTTCTTTTCTGGCCAGTATACTTATAGAGAACCTTGTTTTGTTGTCCGTAACCTCCTTTGCCAGGTTCATCTCATTCTTTATCTTTGCCTTTGTTGTTTTGTCCCTTCAGGTTCTTGCTATGTCCTGGTACATTTCCTTGGTGACCTGCCCGTTCTTTCATTGCCTGTAGATTTTTGCTTTTGCATTAGAGGTATTTTAGAAGCTCCTTGTGCAGCCAGATTGGTCTCTTGCCTTTGTTTTTGTGTTTCCCTTGCCCTTAGAAGCTCCCAGCCCTCCTGGGTACCATTATGCTTCAGTCATCCTCTCATGACGCCATGCATATTAACTCCTTGAGTCAGATGAAATCTGTCTTTTTGAAATCTAGTATCCTAATTTTGATGACCTCATGGTTTTCCTGTGTCAGGATCTGGAATGCTGTCATACCATGATTGTTTCTTCCCAAGTTACCCACCACCTTTACATCCTCCACCAGTTCTTCCCTGTTGGTCAGGACAAGGTCCAAGATAGATAATCCCCTAGTTTTATCTTTCACTTTCTGGAACAGAAAGTTGTCTTCCACACAAGTTAGGAACCAGCTTGACATTTTATGTTTGGCTGCATTTTTATTCCAGCAGATGTCCAGAAAATTGAAATCTCCCATCAGTACCATCATATGGCTTTTGGATAGGCTTGTTCCTTGCTTGAAGAGTGCCTCATCCACCTCCCCTTCCTAATTATGTGGTCTATAATAAATCCCTACTACAATATCTGTGCTGAATCTTTCACCTTTCATCTTCACCCAAATGCATTTTGCTTTGTAGTCATCCTCTTTCTGAATCAGGGAACAAGCATTTGTTTTTGACATACAAGGAAACACCACCACCCTTTCTCCCAACCCTGTCCTTCTGAAAGGGAGAGTAACCCTCAGTGTTGATGTTCCAGTCATAAGAGCTGTCCCACCAGCTCTCGGTGATGCCAATCATCATAGTTCTTTTCATAGGCTGCAGCTTCCAGCTCATTTTGTTTATTCCACATACTTCACGCATTTGTATACATGCATCAGATGTATTTTGCATTTTGACTTCCTCACTAAGCTTTTGTGCCACTTAGTGCTGTCCTGTCACTTCTTTAAGTCCTTTTCCATCTGGATTATGTGGTCTGTTGCTGGAAGGTTTTGATCACTATCCCCCATGGACCCTAGTTTAAAGCCCTCCTTATTAGGTTGGGCAGTCAACGCCCAAAAATGCTCTTCCCCGTTCTCAACAGATGGATTCCCATCTCTTGATAGCAGTCCCAAGAACATCCATCCATTGTTGAAGATGCTGAAACCTTCATGTCAACAACACCATGTCATAATAGCTGATGGGTTCAAATGCGATCATGTGATAAGTCAGTTTGATGAAATTGTGGTTTGGCTTCAGGCACCAGGGTTTAGGATTTTGGTTTAGAGTCCATGGCTGTGAACCTAAGCATACGCAAATCCCACTGACTTCAAAATCTTTAAAATTCCCTTGAAAATCCCGCCCATGAGCCTCTAACTGTACAGCTTCATGTGGTCACATGAGAGTTCTGCCTTCATGATCAAAATCCTGCAAGAATAGTTGTTCTTGTGATATATCGATTGTACACTGAATAAAGCAGAAAACAGGTTCCATCCGTCTGTTTAGTCACAGTTACCATTTTTCACCTTTGTTCTTTTTGGGGCTAATATGTTTTTTTCCTGAATTAAGTTGTTGGTTTGTTTTTTGAGAATAGAAGCCCTATGCTTTGTGTCTAGAGTGTATGCATTGTATGTTGTACATGTAGACTGTGAAACTGAATAATCCTTAGTTACTTAATTTTATGCAGCAGTATGAATTTACAAACATCCTGAGGCTATTAGGCAAAGATGGATTGACTGAAATGCAAGAATATTCTCTGTACATAGTGCGTGGTTAATTTATGTAGTTATACTGATAACCGTCATTCATAATATCTGTCTTTTCTATGTTTTTCTTTTTGCAGATAATATTAAAGTATCAGTAAATGACTTTATTATTAAGGCAACAGCAGTTACCATCAAAGTAAGTAAATCATTGATAAATAAATAACATATGGCAGAGGAGGGGAGGGAAAGAAGGCTTTCTGGGAGAATATTCAGTGTTTGCGTGTATAGGAATACAGCTTGGCTATAATCTGGTGCTTTACTTTGTAGCTGAATGTTAATGTTCTAAACTTTGTTCACATAACACAGAACACACCTACCACTCTCTCCACTGTCTAATCAGAGAGAATTTATCTACTTAGTAATGCTGTGAACAGCAGTTCTGCCAGAGGCATGAAGAGAGAGACAGAAAAAAAAAAAAGACATCTTCCCCTATAATTCAGGAAATATAACTAGCAATATAATCCATATGTAGTACTGCCTGTTTGAATGTCAGTTCCATGAAGACAGTGATTGTTGACTGACATGTCTCAGCACAGTTATAACAGTGGCAGTCACAAGTCTTAATTACACCAGGGGACAATTGCATTCTGTAATCAGTTTTTGGTTGCAGAAGACATGAATGGTACAAAATCCTTTTGATGTTTTTGGGACATTTATGGTGTCTTTGTAAAAGACTTCTAAACAAGGTGTTCACTGTGAATATAGACTACTACTGCTGCATGCAAACAAGAACCCTTATTCAGCCTTTTGAAGCAGTGTTGAGGAATGCTGTTGAAGAAAGTACTATACCTCTACAGCAATGCTCACGTACATTTTACTTGGTTAACAATGGAGAACTTCAAAAACCTTGCATCTGAGGTCCTTCCTCATCCCGTTAGATCCTTTAAATCTTGCTCTAAGTACGTTTTACCTTTTCAAACCTCTTTCCAAGTCTTCCTTGAGGAGACCAAAGTCCAGTGATGTGCAAAAGTTTACATATGTTTGATATACAAACTTAGCAATGGGAGTAGCCCATATCTTCTTTCTAAGTGGAATGAACCTTATTGTAACTTTGGCTTATCTTCATGGATTAACAGTGGGGCTACATAGAAGAGTGACACAATTACCAATACCCATGGGCTATCCTAAACATACTTTACCATGAGGTCTTTTTGGTTTTTGACTGACCCTCATATGATGGTTGTCATTTTATTGGTAGACTAAGCCGACCATCATTAATCAGAATATAAGAGTTTCTTGTTGCTTTTGTACATTGAAGCAAGCATTAAAAGTTAACCAACTTGCATTACTTTACAGCTATAAACAAATATAAAACATGGCATAAGTTGCATAGCTGACATCCCTCATTACGAGGGCTGTGCAAAATTTCGCCACCAGTTTTGTTTCAATGCTGTTTCAACACTGTTTCGCTTGGGTTCTTACAGAAGTTGCATTTAAAAAAAACCACCTTTCTCATTGGAGACATAAATGCTTGTCTAGGTTTGCATGTGTACGCTATACTTTAGCAGCTCCCTGTAGTTCATGTAACAGCCAAAGAAGGGTACTTTGCATCATTTTTATATATGTTCTATTAGAGATCTGAAGGTTGACAGGTAGATAATAACTTGATAGGACTTGGGAGGACTGACATAAGGCTTTGCAGTTTATTGCTGCTTCTCTGGTAGCTTAACTAGGGTAAGTTTAGATACAAATTGAAGTGTTAGGTCAGAAGTAAGGCTTCACGGGTAGAAAGGAATAGTAGCTGTCCCTGCAGGCATCATCATAAAATAATAAAATACTGCGTAATTTCCATGATGGAACTTAATCACATTTATATGGCCTTCAGTGTGCTCCTCTCGTATATTGTTGAGTTCAGATGAAATGTTTCTTTGGGCCTGTAAGTACTTCCCCAAAGTACTTTACTTTCTCCATGATGGACCATGAATGCCTGTGGACAATAAAACAAGCTGCTCAGAGAAGTTATGAAATAATAATCTTTGGAGATTTTTCAGAAAAGACTTGCATATAATTTAGGATAAACATGTCCTGCATTTGTGCAGGGTTTGGACTAAATCAGTGCTTCTCAACCTCTTTTGTACCAGGACCCATTTGTGAACATCGATGGCCAGTTCCAACCCATAGCCCCCTGGCCCTGCCCCTCATGGCCAAGCCACAGACCCCTGGTCCTGCTGGTGCCCCTTACTCCCCACCCACAGCCCCCTGGCCTTGCTGGTGCCCTTGCTCCCGAGCCACAGCCTCCTGCCCCTCTACCCCACTGGGTCATGTTGGTGCCCCTCCCAAGTTGCAGTGCCCTGTCCCACTCAGCCCGGAGAGTGGTGGCTGCAGCAGCTCCAACGCATGCAGGTGGCAGCAGAGCAAGTCCAGCCCCAGCACAGGCTGAAGGGAGGAGGAGGAGGGGAGGCCTGTGGCACCCCCGCCCTGGGCTGGGCTTCCTGCACCACACCAAGCAGCCTGGTCATGGCCCTTCCTGCCCCCTTAGCAGCGTCTCCCAGGTGCACTGGCCCTGTGAGTATGGGCACTGGCTCTGGTGCCGTCAGCCTAGCCAAGCAGCTTCCTAGCCTAGCCCCTGAAGGAAACCCTCATCCTTCCTCTGCAGGAGGGGAAGATGCCTTCCTGCCCCAGTCCTCCCTGCCCTGACACAGCGTCGGTGCCCGCCACCTTCCCCCCGTGCTGGCAGGCACCTGCTGCCTCCTGCAC